ATGCATCTTTATGTAGAATATATATATATATCCTGTCAAATCAATTATCAATAAAGCATAAGCTGCCTGTCAGAAATTATAAATTTTACTTCAAAACTCTAAAATGGAACTCAGACTCAAACGCTTACTCTGCATTTATGATCCGACCTAACTTACTCATCTCCAGGCTGGTGCAAAATCTCCCAATTACGCTTAAAGGAACTCAGATGTCAGAATAAAATATTCCGAAAAATGACACTTATCCGAAAAAAGAACATACAACGCGATCTCAATAATGATTTTTTAGACCATCATATTGCGTAGCTTAATTGCAAATTTTTCGTAAAAGACATAAATTGAGATACCGCAGGATTTAATGAAATTTATACATTTAAAAGCTTAAAAGAAGAACCTCAAAAACACATGTATTTTTTTAAAAAAAGTTTTGGTTTTATTCCTAAAAAACTAATCGGTAAAATTTTAATTTTGAATTGTGGTCAAAGATTAACAAATAGTTTGAGTTCACCATGTATATTAACTATACTTAATACAATCAGAAATGACTTTTTAATATATTCCTTTATATAGTTCAATATAAGTACAATTTTGATAGTTAAAGTAAAAATTATTCATTGAGATTTTCTTTTTTCAGAAATGAGCTTTCTTGTACCACATGACGAGATGCTCTTTATCCTGCATAACAAGTTGATCTGGACCTACAAAATGAAAAGAAAATAAATAATATTTTTCCAGAAGTTTTTAAAATATTGATTATTTTAGTAAACCTAACATAATGGTGGTAAATTAAATCCATATTCTTCCAGACAGATAAAATATTACGAAACACAGGGTTCTATGGGGCTTATACATAAGAATGGTAACAAAATTCAGAAAATAAGGTATATTTTAATAACTTCGTATTCATCACTACAATTAATATTTCCGACTAAACAAGTGTAGTCACGAATGTAATACTAAGAAAAGTTCTTCAGATCGGCCTTATACTAACTGAAATCCTGTTCTTTGGATGGGGTGATTTGCTAATTACAAAACATGCAATTCTTATATCCTTAGCCTTCTCTTATATGAAGAAAGTGGTAAATTTAATGTTTCAATATTAGGATTTATTTCGAAAAAAACCCAGATAGTTACTATTCACCACTACTTATTAACTGCAATAATATTTAAATTTAGACTATGTACATATTTAAATGTAAAGTGATAGTTAACAGAAAGATGTTGTATGACTTATTTTAAATTTATGTTTATAATTTCAAGACCACTTAAGGCAGTGTTTCCCAAAGTGTGGTACGCGTACCCCCAGGGGGAACAGTTCAGTGGGGGTACGCGTTCTTATGCGAAATATCTTGCAACAAACGATAATTTCAAAAAATTTTATTTAAAAACATGAAAATTTACTATTGCATATTTTTCTATTAGCTATTTTTTGCAGAGTTAGCAGTTAATAAATAGTGGTGTCAATATCCAGCTGTGATTTTTAATTTTTGCGCAATTTTTTTATGGTAAAATATTTATAAATTTTTTTTTCGGGGTACACAGTTTTACGAAAAATTTAGAAAGGGTACACAAAAGTCATAAGTTTGGGAAACACTGACTTAAGGCATTAGTGGGTTAATAAAGCTAAAATAATTTTTTATTATTTAATATCATATTTTTCCCCTTCCAGTGGCTTTACCGTGGTAGAATAAGCTGTACATGTTTGTAGTACATCAAACCCAAGAACAATCTAATAAACGCTATATTGGAGAGGGTCTAAAATACCCCTTCCCTCTGTCCAAATTTCAGAATCCTACCTCAAACCGTTCTGGGTCTTATAAGAGAGATACACTGACGAACTCTTCATTTTATTATTACAGATAACTTTCCTGTGCACAGACAGGACTTCAAAGGTATCGCTGTTTTATAAGCAAATAACAGAGAAATCGACGAGAAGTACAAAAATAGAATAATATTGCTCTACGAAAACTTAGTAACCTGGTGCAGATAACTAGAACTAACAGAAAACTGGCGCGAAAACTAAAAGACACCTTGGTAAGAACATGTCAAATCATTTATACAGCACAAACTGCAATTTCTCTTTCAAAACTGTAATAAAATGGAACTCAGACTTAAACGATTATTGTACATCTCAACCATCCGTCCCATTCTAACGCACGCTTACCAGTCGAGTGCTTCATGTCCTCATTACTCCCGAAGAAACTCAAACGATGTCAGAGTAAAATTCTTGGAAAAAAAAGGAACAAGATGGTTATCCCAAATACGATTGTACATCTCATTTTCAACATTGAATATTTAGATCAGAGGTTCTCCAATAATGTTCCACAGAACTTTAGGGTTCCGTGAGTTAAGATCTTTTATACCAATTATGATTTTACAACCTGTAACTATGTTTTGATTTAATCAAATATTTTTGGTTAATTTTATAAAATTATTTAAGCAAAGAGCCAGGGAAAAAGGAAATGAAAATTAAATAAATATATTGACTTTCCAATAATATTATATTGTTCTAATAAAATGCGAAAACGAATTACGAAAAGAATATGCTTTTACAAATAGTTGCATCAGTATTTATAATCAAATTTTTCAACTCAAAATAAAATAACCAAATCCAAAAATAAAGAAATATATTTTTTTGTGGTAACCGTTCTCACCGTTAATGACAGTTCTTTTCCAAAAGCCATATTTCAGCTTATTTTATTCAAATACAACTTACGCGTACGACAAAAACTACTAAACTAAAAACCGCTGGAGACCAGCGAATTCAGCTGCCTTACATGAAAATAAATGTTAAGACTATTTTTGATTAAAAAAATTTAAACAGAATTAATTATTTTTTTTTTTATTTGTTGAGTATATTAACAGTTGCTACTTGTGAACTTTATTCATCATACCGTGAGGATTCCGCTAAAACAAATTCTGTCATTTAGGGTACCTTACCCGAAAAAAATTGGGAACCACTGATTTATATTATTATAAGGCAATAATTTAATTGCAAAATTTTTGAAAAAGCCATAAATTGTGATGCCGCAGGATATAATAATTTTTTTACATTTGGAAACTTGTAAGAAAATATGGGTCAGTGGCTGCTTATTTTTCTAGCGATGCATCTTTATGTAGAATACAAAATTTTTAATGTTCTTTTTCCTCCAATTGGCATTAAGTTACTAAGATGTACCATCTTAACGTTAAGCGACCGGATAAATGTTAAGAACGATGTATCAAATGTGCCGCAAACGGTCCCAAGAGCCCAATCGGAGGATTGGGATCAGGATGCTTCTTATTTCTATTTTAAAGTGAATTAAGCTAATTGCAAGAAATTAGTAACTTTCTGCTTAGAATATTAAAACACCAATCTTTAAAATTTTTAGGAGCACGCGAATCCTGATCCAGGGTTCGCCCGCTCTCCAACCACGTCCCATTTAGTAAAGACTCTTCCACCAGTCATCGTATAAAACTATGTTCGAGAAAATGAATCGTGAATTTATTCGTAGTATAATTTCACTGGTGTCGATCTACTAAATAGCATCGGAAGTTATTTACGGCTTGAAATGTGGCAACTAATTTGGGATGGAATGAGTATTAAAAATCATCCCTATTCAGTTGTTTCATTAAATGAAATAGTTTATGAGAACAAAAGAAGAAATATGCAATGAGGTCTTTCCTCCGTTGCAAGTTAAGAAAAGACCATAGTGGTATAGGATTTAAGAAATCATCCGCGACTGCATATAGTTCCATTTTGTTTCGTTACCAGTTGGCATCTCCGGAGTAGTAGTAGTAGTAGTCAGTAAATCGAAAGCTTATAAGACACGTCATTTTGTAATTAATTTGTCGTGTTGATTCTTATAAAAAGTTGGCAAAATTTATGTAAAATCTGCATATTTAAGTTTGTAGTTCTCTATAGCTTTTTAAAATATTTTGTCCAATTCGGAGCAGAAAACATCTCCAAAGAAAGAGTAAATTGTAGTTCATGAACGACTTACTCAAATTGTAGTGGTTAAGAGTTGCATTATCATTTTCTTGACCTTGATAAAGCATCCAAAAATAGCCTCTTTCAGGATCATTAATCGTTTTATCAATTTGATACACATACATCATACCAGAAATCTTTTTGTATATAAAACTGCAAAGAAATTGATACAAAAATTAATATTCAGCTGAAATACCTTGCACTAACTTATGCATGCTTGTTAAAAGCACAGATCCCGGCCAAGATGAGAAAATAATTATCGTAAAAGAAGCACATTAATAAACATGTAATGGTTTTAAGTGGGAAATTGCACAAATGAAAAAAAAAATTATGCGTCTCTTCACTACCACTAGGAAAAATCTTCTGAAAATTTGATTTAATATCTTATGAGATATTGTCTCATTTTTTTAATGACTTTCTCGGTTCCAGAAGAGTTAAAAAAAAATTATATATTTGCAGCTGCATATTATCATTACGGATTACCCATGTATTAAGTGATGAGTAATTTATTTCTCCAAACAAAAGATAAAAATGATATGTTCTTACGACCAGTACTTAATCTTTACCGAAAGTAGCAGCTTTGATGGTTTGTAAAATGTGCTCTGCAATCTCGCCCGCCTGTATTTAATCCAAATATAAACACGTACGGTCAAATACTAAAAAAAATTGCGGCCTAAGGCCATACATTTCTGGCCACTTCTTTAGGAAAATTAATTTCAAAAAATGGAATTTTTACAATTTTTTGTCATAATTCAATTTGTAGAAAAGAAGTCCTTGTGGAATAAAAATTTCGATATCAATAATAGCCCATCGAAGAAAAACGTATACCCTTCAACTGCAACGGATTTTCCATAAAAACTGTAAAAAGTGATTGGGCAATACTTTATGATTTTTATAAATAAATTCAACAACATAGAATTTTGACCACCACTACGTATAAATATATTAACATATATTTAACACGTTTACGCCGAGAAAATACTGGTACGGGAAAAGAGAAAATACTGGTAGAAGAACTATAAGATAATATTCGGGTGGAGTTAATCTATTCTCAACAATAACAATTCACAGTAAGGAAAATTATCACGGCGAAGAAGCAATTCAATATAAAAATTGCACCCGTTAAAAACAATTGGTAGTCATGGATTTTTATTATTCCCGGAAAAAAACTAAAAAATGAAATTTATTGTTACGTATGAGATAGTATGAGCGTGACCTACCGGTGGGTCACCCCGGCGTGAACGTGTTAAGATGTATGAACACTTCTTCGTAACCCTTTTCCAACTAACGCTTGAATGGTAGTTAAGAGATTTGTTTTGGAAGAAGTGGTAAGCAATTAGCACCGATGCGAATTGATTTTTTCTAATGTGATTACTCAGGCTTCAAACGACATGGAAAAATTAAATTATTGGTAGATAGGATTTATCAAGACTACTGAAAAATGTTTACACTTATCATTCATTTGTGAATTACGAAATTATTCACGAGTATTTTTTTTGCCATATATATTTCTTTTAAATTAAATATTTATTGATCGCTTAAAACATCTAGTTATATCTCACTGTTGCTGCCACTTTAAAAAGATTTTCAGACCGTGAGAACTTTGATGGTAGAAATTAGAAATGCATCATTTCAGACAAAAATATACACATTTACATCACTAATATATTTTGGGGGACAAGAATAAAATATCATTAGGATACATTCTACGCAATAAGGGTTATAAAGTAGGTATGCAAATCTTTTCTACCACTGGGGAGCATTAGATGTGGGACTTAAAAAATAGGAGTATTGGGTACATAGACTGAACCTTTCACGGGGCAATAATCATTGGACCACAATTTGACGAAGTACCTGCCCGCGAATGCGGGCACCTCACTTCTTCATCGAAAATGGGCCCTAAGGCGACGGTGACTATTGCCATTAGAATAGAAGTAATTCCACATACGAAGATCTGTGGTCGTCATCATTGGCTTTATCTCCTTGTCTATGTCTTGGTAGGTGGGAGTAGGGACTGGATCAGGGAAACTAATTCCGCATCTTTCATGAGTTCCTGAAGTTCTCTCACGATGTGAGTAAATCTGGCTACTTACTGGATTGGCAGCAGTTCGATGTTGTTGTCTCTTTCTTGGGGCGAGCTTTCTCTTTGGCCTGGCTGGGCAACCTGTGAAACAGGCTGGACCACTATTTAGTCCTAGTGTTTTGATTTTATTGGGCACCTGGGCCGCGAAGCGGCCCCTATACCATTCATCTGGAATTTTAGAACAGTTTTGGTTGAGCAATGACGTAAGCAGGCAATGGAGTTGCTTTTATGGACCACTATTTGAAAACGACAGGTTTTATAAATATGTGTACGTTATAAAAATATAGTGGTGGACAAAATAATTAAAAAAAATTTTATTAAGTCCATAATTAAGTGTTAAATTATTATTTATTTCATTTTATTAACTTTTTTTTTATCTGTAACATTTTTGTCCGCCTTTCATTTCGAAGATACGGGACTAATTTAAAAGTTCCTAAGCAACAGAATAAACATATTGCGTTTTTATTCACATCAGGATATGTTCTTGCAGATAATTCCTCAGTTGGTCTTTTTTGCGTTTCTGGGGTAACAAAAAAATTAAGTTTTCCCTTGTTGTGTTTAATGAGAATTCTTGCAAGATACAATCACACAAGCTGATATTTGACTACAATTGTTAAATTTGTGTAATCAGATGAGATGAAAATAACCTAAAAAAAAAAGAAAAAAAAATATTATAGAAAAAAGAAGTTACAAAAAAGAAAGCCGGAAAGCTAGTTGCATGCGAAAAATTATGTTTTTGTAGTAAGAAGTTTATGCAGCTTCGTGACGTCACAGTCTGAAATTAAAAACGCGGAGCGTCAAGAGTTCCTTCAAAGGAGTGACTCTTCTGTTTTCTCAGAGTATTAAGCCAATTAAAAAAAGTTATTAATTAATCCCCGCTTAGTTTAGAATTAATAAAAATTTCTAAAACATTAATATGGACTAAGTATTTATCCCGTTGCCCCTGAAAGAGATAACAAAATAGGAACAGGACTTCAAATACTTACGTGTATTTTGGATCTTCTGTTTCAGCTAGTTTCATCACTTCAAAAGCCGTGTAGTTCTCTGGAACTCTAAGGGAAATAGTATGGATCACATCTTTTTCGTCTCCCACGTAAAGTGAATACCGAACACGCATTTTTGGACCTGTGTAGTCATTTGTTTCAGAAGCTTGGTTATCTGGAAGATTTTAAATTGGTTAACCCCTTGGGGACGGCTGATTCAGAAAAGCATTCGTACAAAATCAGAATCAAGTTGTAATTAAATAAAAAAATTTATTTAATTACAACTTGATTCTGCGGTAACTTAAATGTAGTCGTTGCTAATTTAACAGACTTACTTTGCTTTTACTTTAGTTATTGTTAGTTTAATCGCATATACAATCAATGTTAATTCAATGTATAACTAAATAAGTTTATTTTTAATAAAGTAATTGTGAATTAAAAAAAATCAAACAATTATAACTCGGCCTACGAATAAACTGCTAAAGAAATACTTTGATTACCAGTTTTATATTTTTACCCTGATTGATACGGTTTTATGCTGCCACACATTTGTGACAGTCGGCGCGAAAGGGTTAAGTAATTTAAAGTAGAAACATAAATATGACACTGGAATATTTCATTTCATTGTACGAAATTTGAGTAATTTATTAAAATAAAAAATTTAGCTATACAAGGTTAACACATAGCTGACCGGCAACTTTTCTGAAAATTACCTCATGTGCCCAGCTATTGTTTTGAAAGTGGATGTGGAAGTAAAACAACATAAATAAACTTTAAAAAATTTTAATTTTTAATGCCGTATGATAAAAAATATATCAATCACCTATGTGTAATTGTACTTTTTACTTACTTTATTTATAAAAATTGGGCACCTGGGCCGCGCAGCGGCCCCTATCCCATACATCTAGAAATTTACATAAGTTTAAAGTGATAACTAGGACTGGGCGAAGTTAAGATTTCAGCATCGTGATGCATCGCCACTCAAACATCGCGATGTTTCGATACATCGCGATGTCACATTACTGTTTCACATTTGGTTTTGCAAAATTTTACATTCTTGCACACCTTTACTTTTTATTTATTTGATGTTACTGTAAAGTAAGACTAAAACTAAAATTTCAAATATATATATTAGAATTCAAATATATATATTAGAATATTATTATTTCAAATATATATTTTAGAATTTAAACTTTGTGTGTTTGGGGAAAAAAGAGAGTAAGATTTCAAGAGGGATATTATGAAAAAATTTATAAAAAGTGAAAATCTGCCAAAATGTATCAAATTTACATTATACGAACTATATTCATTTTATAGGTATTTAATTTCAATAAAAATATATAAAAAATATAATCAATAAGAGAAAAAAGTGAAGATAGGAGTAAATTAAATGTATGACTTTATATCCTGGTATATCAATGTTTAGTAAATTGATTATTTTCTTCCTTTGGATTAAAATAATTCGATAGACTGTCTTTTTCAATTTAAATAAAACACATCTTTTCAACCTTCAAACTTTTCTGGAAACAATCGGAAGTTTTTAAATTAAAGAAAGAGGGTATTGAATAAATAGTTAACTAATGAAACGAATAATTCATTAAAATTTTACATGCAGCTTAAAAAAAATGAGAAATTATCTTTAAGGATGAATTAAAAAAAAAAAAGAATAGTATTTCAACCATAGCCAACAAAAATTATTGTTAATTTTCAACATTCTTAAAGATGGTCAGGTATCTTAGACAAAAACACATTAAAAAATTATTACATTAAGAAATAATTTTTATAGAAAATAAAATTAGAAGAAATTGGTGCATTTTTTCAGCTTTCATATTGTAATAAATTTATCTTAACATGGATATTTTAACAATTAATATTTGTGGATAGAGTGCAGTGCATGAAAAAAAAATTACTGTTGACTTCGTAATTGGATTTCAAAAAGTCTGATTTTTTTAAAATTTATTTTTCAGAAACTATTCAACTAATTTCGTTTAACTTTTTTATTTTAAAATAAAAAATTATATTTAAAAAAAAAATTTTATACCTTACAATTCAAACTTTTTTTGACTATTACTAATAAAAAAATTAATTAAAATCATTTTTACATAAAATTATCTTTGGATAAACGAATTATGTCAGCTAACTGTAAAAATAAAATAGATACAATTATAAAGATAAAATTTTAAATGCGCATTAAGCCAACAATTTAAAAATCTTTATAAACAGAAAAATAAAAAACGTAATAGAAAAAGATAAAAAAAAATATATGGATTGAGAAAGCTAGAACCATCGCAGAATGAGAATACTTAGAGATAGATATCGCGAGATCAAAGAGGAAGGATTCGCCAGGGAGACAACTAAGCCTGAAACTACTGTAATGACCAGTACTTCCACGACGACTGAAACTCCCATGCAGCCCGAGACCACGGTTGAACTCATGAATACTCAAATCCCAGTTTCTGAAACAACAATTCCCAGTACAGACCACCATAGAGATGGATACTACAGAAACTCCTGATCTCACCGAGAAAAAGAAAAAGAAGAAAAAACTCAAAGCTAGTGTCAACATGGCGACACAAGCTGACTCAGATCAAGAAGGCGAAACCATCCGCCCAAACCCAGATACAACTCCCGTTACCACAGCGGCCCCAGTACCGGCAGAGTGTGCGGAGGCTGCCGTTTCGGCAGAACCCACTACTTCTATCACTACAAAAATGGACATTACTCCTAACAAAAAGCTTAAAACCCTCATCCGAGGTCTACAAACAGATACGGAAATTCTTGCCATAGAAAAATATCTCATTGAGTTCGGACTTAAGCCTGAAAAAATAGTGCAGCTCAAAAGAAGAAGTGGGCAGGAGCTTAGGCCCCTCCCACTTTTCCTCATCATACAACCGGACACGCCCACCAGTAGAAACATCCTCAACATTAGTTCAGTGCTTGAAAAGAATGTTAAAGTAGAGAGATTTAGAGGAGGGCGATTTCAGATCCAGTGCTTCCAGTGTCAAAAATATGGTCACACCCAACGCAGCTGCCCAGCAACCGATCCTGCCTGTTTGAAATGCGCCGAAGCTCACTATTCGTACTTATGTACGAAATCCAGACCCTCTCCTGCGAAATGCATCNGCCTGCTCATTGCCCCAAACACCACAATGGGCTGGCACCCACTGGAGGACTATTCGTTTTCCCCTCAAAAATAAAGACCTCAAGAGGTCTTGACATCGGGAAATCTCAGGTGTCAAGGGACGTTCATATGAGCTAATTGATTGTATGGCCGCTTGTGAGTCCGAGACGAGAACTGCATTTTCAAATTTGTATTGGAGAGCCAGTAGCTGCTGTAAGGCCGTACTCAAGGCCACTACTTCTCCATCAAAGACGGTGCCAATGTATCCTGCAGGTATGTAGAAAGAGAAAAGTTCCGAAAAGACACCAGCCCCTACATTAAAATGGCAGTCAAATTGAGAACCATCGGTAAAAACATGTAGCCAATCGTCGACTGGGTATCTAACCGCCATTGTCTCCAGGGCAAGATTTTTTAGAATAATTGGTGCAACATTTTTTTTACCATGGACATTTTTCACAAGATCCAAGTTTATTTCAACGTTTGTTATTTTCAAGTGGTTTTTAGGTTTCAAAAGAGGTAGTGCCTGACACGGGATTTCAATGTCGTTTCTAATGTTCAGCACCTCCTGGATAAATCCATTCTGGGTTTTAAGTTGCCTAGGCCTGATTGCATAGTCTTTCCAGTAGGGGTCATCGATTATCAGTAGCTTTTCGTATAGAATCAGAGCTTTCTCCTTTATAATATCTTGGAAAGGTCTATTTCCTGTTTGGATTAGCATCGCGTCAATTGGCGTGGACTTAACAGCTCCTGTAACCAAGCGAAGAGCCTGGTTTTGCAGAACCTCAAGTTTGTCTAACATCAGTTGTGGGGCTGTAATGAAGACCTCGCAGCAGTACGTCATAAGAGGGAGGATGAATGTATTATATGTAGTGTTAAGGGTGGACCGTGTACACCCCCATTTACAGCCTGCCAAACGCTTGAGAATATTAAATTTAATTGTGACCCGCTCTATGAGCCGTTCCACGTAGTTTTTCCAACTAAGCTTATTATCAAAAGTCACCCCCAGGTAGGTGAAATTATCTGTATTGAGAATCAATCTATTCTGGTACCAGAACACTGGGCGGAAAGTATCGTGGGTTAGTGAAAAGGACTGTGAAGCTGTCTTTTCAAGGTTAACAGTCATATTATTTTCATCACTCCACTTTGAGAGTGCCTGCAGAGCCCTGTTTAAGAGATTTTCAGTAAGGTTTTTTGCATAGCGTTTTGGTGCTTGAGTCCATATTATCAGATCATCAGCAAACAATAGACACTTAATATCAGGTATTGACTTAAGAGTTGACACAAGATCATTAATATAGATATTGAACAGTGTACAGCTACTAACTGCACCCTGCGGTAGTCCGTCCGTAGATTATAACATTGTAAGTAGGAATCTCCAAATTTCACTTTGCAGGTTCTCTGACTTGTAAAAGATCTAATCGAGTTAAATAGTTTTGAAGTGATACCAATACTCAAGAGCTTCTGGTAGAGATTTTCTCGCCAAACGGAGTCTGCGGTATAGTTTTTCTCAAGTAACACCGCCATCTCTTTAAGAACTTCGTGACTAATTTTTAATTTTGTTTTAAGTAAATAATCACTTTCCTAAGTATAATACTGCAAACCCAGGGTTGACAAGTTTTTCACTCATGACGGTTATTACCATCTATGTCAAAAACCAAGATATTTGGTGACGTATTTTCATTTTATTTCGGCTAATTAAAATTTGAATAGAAAGTGTATCTTTATCTTAAAACATTAAATTAAAAATATAATAATCAGAAATTAATATATCTAAAGTTAAAAATATTTGATTTTTATAAGAATTGTCTACATTTAAAGGCTTTATTTCATTATATAAATTCCATCGTTAATTTTAAGAATCAAAATATTTTATGCTTTGCACTTCTGTTTATTTTTAAAGTTCTGTTTTTTCATTTATGTACAGAAATAGTGAGAGATATGGTAAAAAATTGCCTAGCCCTAGAATTCTTTTGTAAAATCTTTGCTGTAAAAAAAAGACGCATACGAAACAAACTTAGAAAAATAAAACCATATCATCTTATAAATTTTTTCACTCTTCAACACAGAAAAG